ATTATTGAAGCTCTTCTTGGTGAAGTGTGCAAATCATGGTTGACATCTGCCAAGCCCTTGTTCTGTGCACACACTGTTTGACCTGAGGTAGCTTGAAATGGTCTAAAAACATGTGTTTTTGGAATCAGATAAGACTGGTTCAAATTTTAGCTCTACCTCTTATTAGCTTTAAGTTTCTGAGGAAATTACCTCACTTCTTTGGATCTCCTTTCCTCATCTATAAAACAGGAATAACAATAAAAATCTATATAGTGTTGTGAGGATTAAATTATCTGGGTAATATAAAGGGATTGGCATATAGGAGTTGGTGTTTTATTCTTTACATTTTATTTTATTTTCTCATTGTGTACTTGAAAATCGCAAGGAAGTATTTATTTTATTTTTCCTGATTTTATTTATTTATTTTTTTTTAAAGATTTTATTTATTTATTTGACAGAGAGAGACACAGCAAGAGAGGGAATACAAGCAGTGGGAGTGGGAGAGGGAGAAGCAGGCTTCCTGCCGAGCAGGGAGCCCGATGCGGGGCTCGATCCCAGGACCTGGAATCATGACCTGAGCCGAAGGCAGACGCTTAACGACTGAGCCACCCAGGCGCCCCTTATTTTTCCTGATTTTAAAAGCAACCTCATTGGGGTGCCCGGGTAGCTCAGTTGTTAAAGTGTCTGCTTTTGGCTTGGGTCGTGGTCCCTGGGTCCTGGGATTGAGCCCTGCGTCTGTCTGGCTCTCTGCTCATCAGGGAGCCTGCTTCTCCCTCTGCCTGCCCCTCCCCCTGCTGGTGCTCTCTCTCTCTCTCTCTCTCTCTCTCACTCTCTGATAAATAAATGAAATCTTAAAAAAAAAAAAAAGCAACCTTATATGGGGGCGCCTGGGTGGCTCAGTTGGTTGGACGTCTGACTCTTGATTTCGGCTCAGTTCATGATCTTAGGGTCATGGGATCATGCCCCACTTTGGGCTCTGCACTGGATGTGGAGCCTGCTTGGGATTCTCTCTCTCTCCCTCTCCCTTTGCCCCTGCACCCTCCCCCTGCTCCTGTGTTCTCTGTCTCTCTCTTGCAAAAACATAATAATAAATAAAATAAAATAAAAACAACTTCATGCTCAGTGTAGAACATTTGTTCTAAACAGCAAAGTCTAAAAGACAAATTAATAACTTTATAAAACTGCATTTGAGATAAATGTGGATAGCATTTTGACATGTTACCTTCTAGTGTTTTCTCCATTCATGAGAAACTTTATTTTATTTATTTATTTCTATAAGAAACTTTATTTTAAATAGAGAATTCTGTCACATGGCACACAAAGCAAGGGAGTACAAATAGATGAACAGTGAAAAGTAAGTCTTGCTGGGGCGCCTGGGTGGCTCAGTTGGGCATCTGCCTTCGGCTCAGGTCATGATCCCAGCATCCTGGTATCAAGCCCCGCATCGGGCTTCCTGCTCAGTGGGGTGTCTGCTTCTCCCTCTGCCCGTGGCTCCCCCTGCTTGTTCTCTCTCTCTCTCTGTCAGAAAAATAAATAAAATCTTTTAAAAATAAGAAAATAAATAAATAAATAAAAGTAAGTCCTCCTTTCTACCCCGACCCCAGCTACCAGTTCCCCTCCTCAGAGACAACCACTGTTACCAGGTTCTTAGGTGGCCTCCCAGTGACAGTTTACATATTTAGAAAATTTATTAATTTTCATATCATCTTCTTCTCATGCAAACACTGGCATAGTGTACCTACTGTTTGCACTGGAGGCTGCCACAAAAGTGAGTTCCCTTTCAGTGCTCATAGACACCGGTGGGCAGAGCCACAGAGGGCTCTGGTGACAGGTTCTGAGGGCTCAGCAAGTCTTGGTCTCGGTTGTATATTTTTACTCTTTGAACTGAAAATCTGCAAACAACTGAACAGGTGTTAGAATTCTCAGTCTCAACCGTTTCTACTGTTGCTCATGCGAGGAGTAGATCTGCAGGCGATGGCTGGGGCCAGCAAACAGGGTGGTCTGAGGCCAAATTCAAGCTTCTCCAGCATTTCATTGACCCTCAGTCAATGTTTTCTAAACCTACAACTGGAATGAGTGTTCTGACATGGAAAGATAATATGTTGCAATTGGCATTGACTCAAAAATCCTAGAATGCTTTGGAGTGAAGGCTGGAGCCTAAATCAATATGGTTCACTCTAAGACCAGTCCTACCCCACCCCCACCCTTCAGGCCTCACAACCCTGCTACCTTCAGCTCGTCACTGGAGTGTCTCCTCTGCAGGTTACACCCCATTGGATGCAGGTCTGTCCCATCCAAACTCTCACTGGGCTATCTGACTGCCTTCAGACTGGCCCTACCCACCAGGTCCTCTCCACTCAGCCTTCCTTTTTCCCTCCTGTTAATTAATTCATCAACCCAAGAACACTGAGAACTTGACCCGTTACTGGCCCGTGGACAAGGAAGGGGAGATAGGAAGTTAGACTTGTTCAAAGCTAAGCTCCAGAGAGCAGTGAATAAGAATGAACTGATGCATTTGAATATTGTACACCTTAAACTAATATAACACTGCATGTGTTACGTTAAAATAAAAAAAAAAAAGAATGAACTGATGCATTTGAGACACCTCATCTGTAAAATGAATATTAAATAATATAATGGATATGACAGTGCTTTGTAAATGGTTAAATGCTATATAAGCATAAGGGACTCATATTTTTATAAGAATGATGATTTAGGGGCGCCTGGGTGGCTCAGTCGTTAAGCGTCTGCCTTCGGCTCAGGTCATGATCCCAGGGTCCTGGGATCGAGCCCCGCATCGGGTTCCCTGCTCCGCGGGAAGCCTGCTTCTCCCTCTCCCACTCCCCCTGCTTATGTTCCCTCTCTGGCTGTGTCTCTCTCTGTCAAATAAATAAGTAAAATCTTAAAAAAAAAAAAAAAGAATGATGATAATTTAAAACTAAGATATGGAAACCAACAATTTTACAAATGAATTTTTAACTTACAAAAGTGCTATTTATTCATTTTAGAGGATTTTAAAAGTATGTTTAAAAAGTAAGGGAGGGGCGCCTGGGTGGCTCAGTTGGTTAAGCGACTGCCTTCGGCTCAGGTCATGATCCTGGAGTCCCTGGATCGAGTCCCGCATCGGGCTCCCTGCTCGGCAGGGAGTCTGCTTCTCCCTCTGACCCTCCCCCCTCTCATGTGCTCTCTCTCATTCTCTCTCTCTCAAATAAATAAATAAAATCTTTAAAAAAAAAAAAAAGTAAGGGAAATTCTCAGAGTCTTATTAGAAAGTGTGGTACCTTACATTATTTATACACTATCTTCCCTTTCTATCCCTATGGGACTGTGTCTATGGGAGGATTATTTTTCCCTTGGCAACAAATTTTGCCACATGATACTCTGGCCAATTGAGTGTGAGTGGAAATGGTACATGCAACTTCCGAGCTGAAGTTTTAAGAGCCTTGGTGAGGCTCTGCCATCTTTTTTCTCCCTGTCACATCTCAGCTCAGGGCTTTTCTGTCATCCTGGGTCTTGGAATGAAGACCCCTGTAGGACATGTAATGCGAGTGAGAAATAATTATTTATTCTTGTCAGCACCTGAGATTTGGGGGTTATTTGTTACTGCAGCATAAATTGTCCTAAGATACCGATATACCGAGATCTAATAACTGTTAATATTTTGATGTATACCCTTCAGTCTTTTTTCTATGCTAATATTCTATATATCTTTTTTTAAGATTTTATTTATTTATTTGACAGAAAGAGAAAGAGAACACAAGCAAGGGGAGTGGGAGAGGGAGAAGCAGGCTTCCCATGGAGCAGGGAGCCCGATGTGGGGCTCGATCCCAGGACCCTGGGATCATGACCTGAGCCGAAGGCAGACGCTTAACGATTGAGCCACCCAGGCACCCCAATATTCTATATTTTTTATAAAAATAGGATCATAATGTACCTATGATTTTGTGAAGTGCTCTTCTCATTTCATCTGCAAATATTTTAGTATATATCTCTAAAACACAAGGATTCTTCTTTAAAAAAAATTTATTTATTTGACAGAGAGAGACACAGCGAGACAGGGAACACAAGCAGGGGGAGTGGGAGAGGGAGAAGCAGGCTTCCCGCTGAGCAAGAAGCCCGATGCAGGACTTGATCCCGGGACCCTGGGATCATGACCTGAGCCAAAGGCAGACGCTTAACGACTGAGCCACCCAGGCACCCCAACACAAGGATTCTTCTCGAAACATAATCATAATACCATTATCACACTTAAAATGAACACTAATCCAAATAAGGTCCAGACTTTGCACGAGGTTGATGTGTCTCTTACATCTCTCTTCATTTCTAGGTTCCTCCTCCCCGTCTTTCTCTCTCTCCTTTACCCCCTTGTGATGTATTTGTTGAAGAAACTGAACTGGTTTTTCTGTAAAGTTTCTCACAGTCCAGATTTTGCTGATTGTATATTCCCATGGTGCCATTTAACGTGTTCCTCTTTCTGCTATATAAGCATAAGGGACTCATATTTTTATAAGAATGATGATTTCTTGTAAATTGCTGATTAAATCGAGAGGCTTGATCAGATTCAGTGAACAGATATTTAAACTCAATACATTATGAGCATTTTCTATATCATTTAATATTCTTTTACATGTCATATTAATGACTACAGAGTTGCCAAAAATAAGAATGTACATCATTTCTTTAGCTGGTCCCCTACTGTCAGTCATTTGGATTGTTCTAATTTTTTTTTTTAAAGATTTTTTTATTTATTTGACAGAGAGAGACACAGCGAGAGAGGGAACACAAGCAGGGGGGAGTGGGAGAGGGAGAAGCAGGCTCCCCGCAGAGCAGGGAGCCTGATGCGGGACTTGATCCCAGGACCCCGGGATCATGACCTGAGCTGAAGGCAGTCGCTTAACCAACTGAGCCACCCAGGTGCCCTGGATTGTTCTAATTTTTTGCCACCACACACGACTTGCTGATAAGGCTCCCTATGGACTAATGGTTTTCTGGCCTGATTTGCCTCCCTTCTGTTCTCTTAGTTCCTGCGGATGGTGGATGCCTGTGCCAGCTTCCTAACAGAAGCCTTGAACCCCGAAAACTGTGTTGGAATACTGAGGCTGGCGGACACACACTCCTTGGACAGTCTGAAGAAGCAGGTTCAAAACTACATCATTCAAAACTTTGTGCAGATTCTGAACTCTGAGGAGTTCCTCGAACTTCCTGTGGATACTCTGTACCACATCTTGAAGAGTGATGACCTCTATGTAACTGAGGAGGCTCAGGTGTTTGAGACTGTGATGAGCTGGGTCCGGCACAAACAGTCAGAACGACTCTGCTTGCTTCCCTATGTCCTTGAGAATGTGCGCTTGCCACTTCTGGACCCGTGGTACTTTGTGGAGACGGTGGAGGCAGATCCTCTTATCAGACAGTGCCCAGAGGTCTTCCCACTGCTTCAGGAAGCCAGGATGTACCACCTTTCAGGCAATGAGGTGAGTTGATGAGCGACCCTGTAGTTAAGCGGCAAAGTAGAGGAGTCAGCGGCCTCACAGAAATATAGGTGAGGCTGGCTTACCAATCCTTAGGAATGGCATGGAGAAGAAGACGCTGCACTGTTCATGGTTTGAGTCAGGCAGTTCCAGAAGCGCTGGATTTCTGATCTGTAAAATGGGGCTGATACCACATTATAAACAGCTACTGAGTGGACTGAGTGAGATAGGAAACCACTCAGCACATCCTTCCTCTTCCCAGTGCGTAGGGTGGAGGTTGATGGGGGTGACACACACAGGACAGGATGTGCCCTGTCCGGTCGCCATCCCATAGGAGTACCGCTTTCCTCGTTTGCCCTCTCTGGAGAACCACGAGTCTCTTGGATATCCTGTGATGTTACCTTGGTTCCGATTGTCATTGTTTCCCTCCTGAATTTCTGAAAATTCCTCAAAACTCATTGTCCTGCCCTCAGTCTGGCCTCCCTCCAGTTCATTCACCAGCTGGATGATCTAAAACTCAAGCCTAATTATTGTGTTCTTGGGCTTACCCTCTTCACGGCTCCCCATGACTCTCAGGGTAAAGCCCACACACTTCCTGCCTCCGCTCCCAGAGCCAAGCCTTGCCTACTTCACCTCCCACCCACTTCTCTAATGCCATCTCCAGCCTCTCCCTCCTGCTAGGCTCCTAATGCACTGCTTGCAATTCCTCAAAGTGGATGTGCTTTTTTCATCCACTAAAGCAGACTAATGTTCAAGTGCCTTTTTCCTCTCTCCATCTAGTTGACTTCTACTCCAGCTGCAAAAAGTTAAAGCATCACCTTCTTCAGAGACCTCTCTCATTCTCATAGCACCTGGTGCATTGCTCTGTCGTAACACCAGCCACCACATGGTAACCATTGACTTCCTCATCTGTAAATGTCTCTATACTGGCAGCTTGTTATGGTCAGAAAAATGTATTATTGGACTTTTCATCTCTAGACCTTACGAGAATCCTTGGTATAGAGTAAGCGATTGGTAAATGTTGAATAAATAAATGGGTACCAAGATGATGAATATACATATCATTTGGATGTATCTGGTTCTCCTTAACAACTTCTGAAGAAATGTTTTATTCAAAACTTCATAAATACAAAAATAGGCTTAGTGGAGAGGAACAAAACCCTCAGGAAATAATAATATAGGGACAGTGTGTTAAGTTTATACACATGGACACACACACTTATATACCACTGTACAATAGTTCTAGGATAGGCTTCCAAACCTTCATTAGGCCATTGGTAGATCCTAGCCACAGGTGGTTTAGAAATTGTCTGTATGAGGCCCCTGGAGCCTCCTTCTTTTCTTGTGTGTCCTTTTCTAGTTCTGTGTTGTCCTCAGATCTACTGTCATTGATTCACTCTGTAAATATATCCTTAAATGTTTGGTAGAATTTACTAGTGATACTATCAGAATCAGCGAGTTTTTGTGTTTTTTTTTAAGATTTTATTTATTTACTTTAGAGAGAGTGAGAACGCAAGTCAGGGAGGGAGAGGGACAAGCAGATTCCGCACTGAGCGCGGAGCCCGATGTCAATCTCACAGCCTTGAGATCATGACCCCAACTGAAATCAAGTCTGATGCTCAACCAGCTGAACCACCCAGGTGCCCCAGGAATTTTCTTTGTGAGGTTTTTAACTACAAATTGTATTTCTTTAATAGATATAGGGCTATCTATTTCTTCTAGAATACACTTTGGTAGTTGTGTCTTTCAAAGAATTTCCCATTTCATAGAAGTTGTGGAATTTATTAGCATAAAGTTGCTCACAGCATTCCTTTATTATCCTTTTAATATCCGTAGAATCTATAGTGATGTCACATCTCTCATCCAGATATTGGTGGTTTATGTCTCCTCTCTTTTTTTCCTGATCAGTCTGGTTAGAGGGTTATCAATTTTATCAATTTTCTCAAAGAAACAGCTTCTGGTTTCACTTGTTTTTATGATTTATTTCATTTACTTGTGTTCTGGTCTTGATTATTTTCTTTCTTCTGCTTACTTTGGATTTAATTTTCTCTTATTTTTTTAAAGTGGACGTTGATGGGGCACCTGGGTGGCTCAGTCGGTTAAGAGTCTGCTTTCGCGGGGAGTCTGCTTCTCCCTCTGACCCTCCTCCCTCTCATGCTCTCTGTCTCTCATTCTCTCTGTCTCAAATAAATAAATAAAATCTTTAAAAAAAACAAAACAAAACAAAAACAAAAACAAAAAAAAGAAGGGCGCCTGGGTGGCTCAGTTGGTTGAGCGACTGCCTTCGGCTCAGGTCATGATCCTGGAGTCCCGGGATCGAGTCCCGCATCGGGCTCCCTGCTCGGCGGGGAGTCTGCTTCTCCCTCTGACCCTCCTCCCTCTCATGCTCTCTGTCTCTCATTCTCTCTGTCTCAAATAAATAAATAAAATCTTAAAAAAAAAAAAAAAGTCTGCTTTCGGCTCAGGTCATGGTCCCAGGGTCCTGGGATTGAGTCTCACAGCAGGCTCCCTGCTCAGTGGGGAGTCTGCTTCTCCCTCTCCCTCTGCCCCTCCCCACTGTTCATGCTCTCTCAAATAAATAAATAAAATCTTAAAAAAAAGAAAATAAAGTGGAAGCTGAAGTCATTGATTTGAGAACTTTTCTTTTTTTTCTAGTATTGTCAGTAGTGCTATAAATTTCCCCCTAAGTACTACTTTAACAGCATCCCATATATTTTAATAAGCTATACTTTTATGTCTGTCTGTATGTATGTAGTTTTTGCAAATAAATTCTGAACACCAGCTATAGGCCAGATATGGCACCAGGCACTACAGAAAGAGTCTCTGCCTTATGAAATTTATGGTCTGTCAGAGAAGCCAAGACAGTAAGCAAATGAACGGTGATGAGTAGACTGATGGAGGGAGTTCAGGCAACCATATGGGTCCTACCCTATGCTGGGTATGTGGGTCACTGGCAGATGGCTCAGCATTGGGTATCAAAGCCCTCATAAAACTGCAGACAGTGTCTGTCTCTGCAACTGCTCTCAGTTTAGCATTCAAAGTACAGAGTCTTGATCAACTACACTTCCAGTATTCTAGCTACTTTTATTTCTGCTTCCTGTTTCCTAAGTCCCTGAAATGCAGGTGATAAAGGTTTTCTGCTGATATAAAATATCTCTGCTCTCCCTTCTGCAAAATTGCTGCTATGAAGTATGTGTTCTGACTTCGGTATTTGCAGTGTGGGGGAAAGTGGCATTATGAATTTTGGATTTAGGAAAAGAGAGAATTCTGGTATCTGGAAGAGTTTCCAGTGGCAGGACATGGGCTTTGCATTTAGGCAGATCTGAGCTTTAATCTTGACTGCACAATTTACTGACTGTGTGACCTTGGGTAAGCTACTTAACTGCTTGAAAGCTCTGTCCTGACCTGTAACATGGAGATAATAATGCCTACCAACTGTTACAATTGTTTTGAGAGTTAAATAGGATAATAAATGAGATGTGGTTAGCACAGTGTCTGGTGCATGGTAAGGCCCCACAAATGAACACTGTTCTCATTCTTTCTCAATTCCTTTATGGTGCACTATTTCTCACAACCAAGCATTTTCTTTCTCTGAAGCTAAGATTTCTCTTTTCTTTTTTTTTTAAAAGATTTTATTTATTTGTCAGAAAGAGAGTGAGCATAAGCAGGGGGAGCAGAGGCAGAGGGAGAAGCAGGCTCCCCGCTGAGCAATGAGCCTGATGAGGGACTCGATCCCAGGACCCTGGGATCACGACCTGAGCCGAAGGCAGACGCTTAACCGAGTGCACCACCCAGGCATCCCAGATTTCTCTTTTCATTGTGTCTAAGGGTTGCTGCATAATTGTCCCAAATCCTCAGGGCACTTTCTCATTCCCATTTTACAGTCTGGGTAACTGAACCAAACAACCACTGTGATCTTCGAATCGAGGTCTCACTGCCAGTTCATTCCCTGAAACTCCCTGTCTGCTCACTGCTTGAATGATCTTGGGTTTCCTCCTGGTAATAGTGGTGTAAGTCTGGAGGCTACTCTCTGAACACACTTCTCCCCTTAACCTTCCTTTTTCAAACTTAAAACCTTCTTGTCCTATCATCATCTCCCCCTTTTAACCGTATTCCTCCTCTAAGCTCGTGGAGGCGGCAACAGTGGGAGATTTTAGAACCCTAAAAGCAGACGTCAATCTATATTTGATTTAGAAGTGGTAGTTAGTACCTTCATTGAGAGAAATCTTTGGGGGCAGAGATAGTTTCCCCTCTGTTTCATTGCCTCCTAAGTTTCCAGTGACCACCTTGATGTATACCAAAGGCTGCTCTGACATGTATGGTGTTGCTCACTCCTGAGTGAGGCAGAGGCTCACCCCTGAGGACAGCTTTGTTGAAGCAACACGGTCACTTCTGTTGGTCCCCTAGTATAGGCCCTGTTAATGAATAGGCAGCAAGGTGCAATTGTCTGTTCTATTTTTAACAATCTGAAAAGACACTGGTTAGGGCTGATTGTTGCATGTGATTCACTGGAAACCCTCCTGTGTGTCTGCAACAAACTTGCACATCTCTGACTTCAAGACTGGCCCTTGCCATGCCTTTGGGGTTAATATTTTGTCAAATTGTAGTTGAAATTACATTTGGTAATAGTGCCACCACTTGGGAGTTCTGTGGTGCCAAGTGATAAGGCAGGTCTTAATACCCAGCAATTCCATCAACTAGAGTGTTGTATTAGTTATCTATTGCTGTATAATAAATTGTCCCCAAACTTTATAGTTTACATTTATTATTTCACAGCTCACAGGAATCTAGGCCTGGTTTAGTTGGAGTCTCTCATGAAGCTGTAGTCAAGCTGTTGGCAGGGGCTACAGTCATCTCAAAGCTCAAACAGTGTTGGAGGATCAACTTCCAAGCTCACTCACAGGATTGTTGACAGGTGTCAGTTCCTTGCTGGCTGTTGGCTGGAAGCCTCAGTTTCTTGCCGTGTGGGCCTCTCCATAGTAGCTGGTTTTTCCAGAGCAAAGGCCCCAGAAAGACTGAGAGAGCCATCAAGATGAAAGCTGTAGTGCTTTTTATAACTTAGTTTCAGCAGTGGTAAACCATCGCCTCTGCTGTATTTTGCTGGCATAGAGGCCTCCCCGGAACAATATTGGGGGGACAACATAAGATGTAAATACCCTGAGGTGGGGATTGCTGGGTGCCGCTGTGGAAGCTGGTTACAACCGTGATCTAGACTGGGAAAAAGTCTGTATCAGGTCCTGGGTTACCTAGTTCTCCTATTCATTCATTCATTCATTCATCCATTCATTCACTCATTCAACAAATGTTTATAGAAACCCACAATCTCCAAGACTATTCTTGGTGCTAAGGATCCATTGGAGAGTAAGGGCTGTTTCTGTCATCAGGGAAGTAAATTACAAGGAAGTAGGAAAAGTGCTGTGATGGGGAAATTCAGGACTGTGGGAACATGTATAGAAAGTCAAGAATGGCTTCTTAGAGGAAAGGACAAAGGGACGTTACAAATAATGCCAATGACTTAAAGGGTAAGTGGATGGGGAGGTGGTGTGGGAAATCAAGGACAGATATTATGGGGGGGTCCAGATAGCAGGTAGGAGTGCAGGGGTTTCTTTTTTTTTTTTTTAAGATTTTTTTATTTATTCATTCGAGACACAGAGATACAGAGAGAGAGAGCACGAGCAGGGGGAGAGGCAGAGGGAGAAGCAAGCTCCCCGCTGAGCCAGGAGCCAGACATGGGGCTCGATCCCAGGACCCTGTGATCATGACCTGAGCCGAAGGCAGATGCTTAACCATCTGAGCCACCCAGGCGCCCCATGGAATGCAGGGGTTTCAATGGGAGCAGAGTCGTCCACAGCCCAGGACTCAGGAATGGGGTGCCAGGCTGGGAATCAGGAGTAAGATCACAGCTAGTCCAGTCCCCCTACTGGCCAGCAGGCTATTGAGGACAGCCACTGTGAAGAAGATGGGGGACTTCAGAAGAAGGCTGAGGCCTGGCTTTCAGAGCTGGAATAAAGGTCACACAGGGACCAATTCTGGGAGGCTAGTGCTGTCCTCTAAGTGTTGCTCCACAATCCCTAATCCTTTTGAAAGGACCAGATTGGTCCTGGAGGTTGCATCTGAACTGTGGGGAGGGGAGATTTAGGGGCATGAAGCAGGGCAGATAATGGGAAAGAAAATCACAGAGTGGCAAAATTTGCGTTTGGTGCCAACTCATTGCTCAGATCCTGTCCTGCCAGCTTGGTATCCTCACAGTGACTCCAAGTTCCCAGGACCACCCCTCCCACCCTTACCCCAGCTGTCTTCTCCACTGTCAGTGCCCTCAGATTCTGCCCATTGCCCCACATACATCCCCCACTTCTTTCTGCCGACCTCCGAAGGAGAGCCCTTTGACACACTTTATGGCCATTGAGGATGCAAAATTTACTGTATCTGACTCTTTGATACAGAAACCAAAGTCTCTTACGGGAAGTAGAGGTTGGGTGTTGGCTGGTCGGCTTACTTGTGACCATTGATTGGATTCACCACTTGAGGGGGCAGTTTTTGCTACTATAACTTTTTGGTTACATCTGTGGTCAAGATTGAAATTTCAAATCCTGTGTGAGGTCAGCCTGACCTTGCAGGCTGCTTTGGTCATTGGGAAATGGGTACTGTCTCCCATCAGCCCACCTGTAGAACCTTCCCCACTGAGCCCAGGGGATGGATGGAACCAGGAGAAGGGCAGCTCTCCCTTTTCCCTAATAATGCCAATATGCCATCTCTAGCTTCTCCTACTGCCATGACTATCTGTTAAGGGCTGTGCCTATGCTAGGTGCTCTGCTCATCCCTCATGCCTCTGCATCACAACCGCATGAATGCTCACAATGACTTGATGACACAGAAGTGATCTCAGGCATTTATGGAGATTGTGTTGCTTCTCCAAGGTCACATAGCCACAGGTGGTGAAACCAGGACCAAACTCTGGTGTACTTGACTTTCTGTTCTTTCAGCTGGTTTCAAATATCTGTGATGTGGATTTCTTTGCTTGTTCAAGGCTCTGAAGGGTCATATCTTTGATGTTGGGACCCAGTCCTCCAACGTCCCTTGCCACACCATGCTCCCGTTTGGTTCTTTTTCCCTAAGTCTCCAAGTGCTCTGTGTGCCTACCATCAGGACTTCTCTTTCAGAAGAGATCTAGTGGTGAGCAAAGTCTGGGATATCATTAAGAAATTGAAACCAGAGGGCGCCTGGGTGGCTCAGTTGGTTAAGCAACTGCCTTCGGCTCAGGTCATGATCCTGGAGTCCCTGGATCGAGTCCCACATCGGGCTCCCTGCTCGGCAGGGAGTCTGCTTCTCCCTCTGACCCTCCCCCCCTCTCATGTGCTCTCTCTCATTCTCTCTCTCTCAAATAAATAAATAAAATCTTTAAAGAAAAAAAAAAAAAAGAAATTGAAACCAGAAAGGGGTGGAAGGTGGCCAGAAATGAAATTCCAAGGTTCAAGCCTTCAGACCGGGCGGGAAGGGTGAAGTGCATTTGATGATAAACGGACCAGGACTTCTTAAGATAGCAGCAAAAGCAACAATAGGTAAGCTTTGTTGAGTATCTATTATACCCCAGGCCCCTTGCAAGCCAGGCACACTACATACATGATACCATTTCATCTTCACCACAGACCTATGAGGTAGTTACCACTAAAGTCCCCATTACACAGATGATGGAGCTAAGGCTCATGGTGAGGTCACATGGTGGCAGAGTTGGGAACTGGGTTCTGCTCGGTCTGGCTCCATAGCCTGGGCTCTGAACCTCTGTGTCATCCTGCCTTTACGTACTTCCATTGGTTTTCCAGATCATTTCGGAGCGCACCAAGCCCAGGATGCATGAGTTTCAGTCTGAGGTATTCATGATCATTGGTGGCTGCACGAAGGATGAACGGTTTGTGGCGGAGGTTACCTGCCTGGACCCCCTGCGGCGCAGCCGCCTGGAGGTGGCCAAGCTCCCCATGACGGAGCATGAGCTGGAGAGTGATAATAAGAAGTGGGTGGAATTTGCATGCGTGACATTAAAAAATGAGGTCTACATCTCAGGTAAGCAGGAGTCACATAATGCCAAAGCAAGGCCCCAGGGGCACTATGCATTTCCTGAGTGAGAGCCAGGCAACCAACTTAGTAGAATTACTGTGAATGGCGATGGTCTAGCTCTGACTGGATCAGCACGTGGGAACCAGGAGCTCAGGTGGTCTTATCTTGGAAAGCACATTCTTACTTTTTTTTTTTTAAGCACATTCTTACTTAATGGACGCTAACCTGTGAGCAGTACTGTACTAGGATCTGGGGGAGCAGGCAGACAGGTCTGGCCCTTCATGGAAAAGGAAGAAGGAAAGTGATACTAGAGTTTATTTGGTATTTGCTAGAGGTGTAGGGCACTGGGTAATGAATTAAAATGTCTGCTCTTCTCCCCAAACCTGAGCTCTCACCTCAAGTTTACTGTCATACTTTTATTTATTTATTTATTTTTTAAAAAGATTTTATTTATTTATTTGAGAGAGAGAGAATGAGAGACAGAGAGCATGAGAGGGAAGAGGGCAGAGGGAGAAGCAGACCCCCTGCCGAGCAGGGAGCCCGATGTGGGACTCGATCCCAGGACTCCAGGATCATGACCTGAGCTGAAGGCAGTCGCTTAACCAACTGAGCCACCCAGGCGCCCTACTGTCATACTTTTAGATGCTCTAGTAGCACACAGTACTTTGTCATTTCTCACTTCTGAGTTATTTGCTTATTTATAATTGCACGGCGCCTGACTCCCACTAGTCCTTAAATTCCACGAGAGTGAGTACTGTATTGCCAGCACCTGGCGCTGCGCCCAGCTACTAGTAAATGCTTAATAACTATTTATTAAGTGACAAAGTCTCTACCGTCTTTACAGCACAGTAGGTGAATTTACGCTTTGATGGTATTTAATCATCTGCCTCTCACATCAACTCTCTAAGGTAGGTGATTTTAATCTCCAGTTACAAATGGAGAAAATGCAGGCTCGGAAGGATTATAAAATGTATCTGAAGATAGGTCACACACTGGTAAATGTCAGGCAGGGTTCCAACCCAGGTTCTCTGAGTCCCATATCTCCCCAAGACATCAAAAGCCACCCAGCTCTTCTTGGGGCCCCAAGGGAGGAGACAAGCATCCTTTGTCCTCTCTCGGAGGTTTTCTCTAATCTGAACTTGTTTGGGGGAAGAGCTTCTTCCCAGAACTGGCATCCTGCAAAATCAAGGGCAGTTCAGTTCTTCCCTGGGTATGTTAATACCATAGATTAGGTAATAACCCTTATTTATTGATGGGAGGCATCAATCTGCTCACATTCTTTTGGCAACAAGTAGCCCCATGCCCCCCTGCACTGCCAGCCCCCATGCAGGCGGGCTAGGAAATGTAGTTTAGCTCTGTGCGCAGGAGGAAAAGGCAGGTTTGGCAATCATAGTCAGTCTATGTCACATACACTACACATGTCATTCTACAGTTTGTCCTTTCCCTCTGTTAGATTTGTTGTTGTCTGTTGAGAAATGATACAAGCAATGCATGAAGGCAGGCTTGTTACACACAGTTAAATCACAGAAACTTGTACTTCAATTAACAATCTATTTTGGACATAATTACATGTTGATATAATGAATCTATCATATGGATTAAGTCTATTGAATTAATGAAACACAATTTTTTTAGCTTTTATTTTCATACTGGAAAAAATACTGCAATAGGCATTTTATTTTATTATCTTATTTTTTTAAGGATTTTATTTATTTATTTTAGAGAGAGAGGGGAAAGAACAAAAGGGGAGGGAGAGGGACAAGCAGACTCCATGCTGAGCGCGGAGCCCCATGCAGGGCTTGAACCCATGACCCTGAGATCATGACCTGAGCCGAAATCAGGAGTCAGGTGCTCAACCCACTGAGCTACCCAGGTGCCCCATAATAGGCATTTTAATACACATGTACTTATGAACTTGTGCTGCTATTTGGAGAAATTCCTGGAGGTGGTTGTAAGATATGTCAATTTAGAATTTTTGTAGATATTGTTAAATTGTCCTCCAGAAAGTTTGTACCAATTTACAGTTCAACCAGTGTTGAACAACAGTGCCCATTTTCTACATCCTTGCTAATATTTTTTATTATCAATTACATATTTAATAGCCTAGAATATTTAATTCATTTATTCATTAATTCATTAATGATGTTAGCATATTTTCATATATTTATTAGCTAACACTTTATTTTTAAAAAATTGTCTATTCCTACACTTTGTCTTTCTATTGGCTGTTTGTCTTTTTATTATTTTTTTGGAGCTCTTATTATATATCCTTTGCTGTTTGTATTGCAAATAGTTTCCCTCAGACTATGATTTTCTTTTAACTTTGATTTATATTGTATATAGTAACTGTCTTTCTTATGTGATGCTATGTTTCATGTCATGCTTAGAAAGCTCCTCCCCACCCCAAGATCATCAACATCTTCTCCTATATATTCTCCAGTTACTTTTATACCATTTATTTTTTAATTTTATTTTATCCATAATGTGAAAGAAGGATCTAACTTAATTTTTCTCCAAATAAATAGCCAGTTGTTCTAATACCATTTATTTAATGATGTTTATATCTTCCAGTCTCTTCTGTATTCTTTTCATTGGTAAGTTTGTCTCATCTTATGCCAATGCCACACTGCTTTCATTATCATAGCTTTTTACTACATTTTGATGTTGCTGGGAAAGCCTTATTCATTCTTTTTCAAAAGTTTCTTAGAAATTTTTCCAAATTTACTCTTCCAGATGAAATTTAGAATGATATCTTCAAGTTCCCTGGAAGGTTCTGAAGGCACTGAATGTATCAATTAACTTGGGGAGGGTTGACATCTTTGCAATAACCTGTCTTCTCATCTATGCACATGAAATGCTTCCCACTTAATCAGGTCTTCCTTTACATCTTGAAGTAAAAAAATCATAGATTTTTTTTCTTTTTAATACAGTGTACATACATTTCTTTGAAAGCATGTAGTTATTTTATAACTTTTTAAAAAAGATTTTATTTATTTGAGAGAGAGAGCGAGCGCGTGTGTGCATGTGTGAGGTGGGGAGGGGCGGAGGGGGAGAATCTTAAGCAGACTCCCCGCTGACTCCCTGCAGACACTCCCAACACGGGCGGGGCTCAATCTCATGACCCTGAGACCATGACCTGAGCTGAAATCAAGTCGGACATTTAACTGACTGAGCCACCCAGGCGCCCCTATTTTATAACTTTTGACACTACCTAAATGAGGTCAATATCACACATAGTGTTTTGAATAGAGAGCTCTAAAAGGTATACAACCCAAGGAAAAATGGTTAAACTATATGAACAAAAAATTCATGGAAGAGGAAGAAGCTCAGTCTCCCTAGCAGCCAGGAAAAACCAAACTATGACATTACTTTTCTCCATCAGCCTATAAAACAAAACAAACCAAAAAATGCTCTTAATATATGCTGTGGGTAGGGTAGGGGAAGGTCAACCAGGACAGCTGTGGAAGGCTCTTTGGCAACACCTGTAAAAATTTGAAGTGTGTGTGCCCTTGACTTAGAAATCTCACTTCTGGGCTCTACCCTAGAGAAACGCTCACCCAGGACACAGAGCATCATCAGTGATACGCATTGCCCTACTAGAGCATATTTATAAGTCTGAAAAGTACATCTTTTGCTTTAAGTAGTTGGTGGTACTCTGTGCTGATGAGGAATGGTACACAAAGCTGATAAAATATTTTATTAAAGTCACCAAAAAGTCAGTTCTCCTTTATCTTGGTCTCGCGCCCTAACTGAATTATGTATTTTCTGTTTATTGAGAGAGTGGTCTTGAAAAAAAATATTTACCAGCTCATTCTCAAATTACCTATTGTGAGCATCTCATTCTTTTATAAAAAAAATATTTAACAATAGGATAAATCCCACTTATGTTTTTTGTATAGATTGGAGATTTGAACTGAGACAATTTTGTAAGATTTCTTGGTGATTTTTCCAGGTTTGCATTTGTCTAAATAAGTAAGCAAACAGAACTTAAGTGCCTTCTAATTTGGCTGCTGGTCAAGGACCTACCATCATCACCCGCAATGGTCCAACCTCACCTGACCTGCCTTACTTCCTGCCCCTTGGCTGCACAGACACTGAGTCCAGGTGCCTGCTGGCCCCTATCCACCCACATGGACTTGGGTGCAGCTTCCCTGAAGACTTCTCTGAACCCAACTCATTCAGCCACCTCTTCTCTGAACTCTCACGGCACAGAGGTGACACAGGACACAGTCCTGGTACACAATTCACCCCAGCCGCACACTGGCTCTCTCTATCCCTCTGTGTTGGCTATGTCTCCCCAACCAGATGACACACACCTTCACGATTTCTTAAGGACTGTGGGAAATTATGGGACAAGCTATATTTCTTACACATCTGGTGGTTTCTTAAATGCTCTGTATCTCTTCTAGGTGGCAAAGAAACACAGCACGATGTTTGGAAATATAATTCTTCAATCAACAAATGGATTCAAATTGAGTATTTGAACATAGGCCGCTGGAGGCATAAGATGGTGGTGTTAGGTGGCAAGGTCTATGTGATTGGAGGTTTTGATGGCTTGCAGAGGATCAACAACGTGGAGACCTATGACCCCTTCCATAACTGCTGGTCAGAGGTATAGGAGATTTCTTTCTTTGTTTTTTTAAAAGATTTTATTTATTTATTTGAGAGAGAGAAAGAGCACAAGCAGGGGCAGAGGGAGAGGGAGAAGCAGGCTCCCCGCTGAGCAGGGATCCCGATGTGGGGCTCAGTCCCAGGACCCTGGGATCACAACCCGAGCTGAAGGCAGAGGCTTAACTGACTGAGCCACTCAGGCCCCCAGGAGATTTATTTCTATGAGTAACTTTGTATTACTACTTCAAAGCTTAAAAAAAAAAAAAGTATATGCCAATGTAGGTATATGGCTTCTGATTTCTCTGCTCGCACTGAGAACATTGTTGGTGGCTCTGAGCTTCCCTCCTGAAAGGGGCCATTGCTTCAGCATTGCTGATCAGGTCACAGAAACAGCTTCCTTCCAGGTGGGGAAGCTCTGTGTGGGCAAGAGCCCCAGCTGGAGAGGGGAGGCTTGGTCCCAACCTCAGTCTGCACGTCTTAGCTCAGAGTCTCTGTCTCCTCAGATGCCAGCTGTTGTCTCCACAGTGGGCCTACAGGGATCCCTTTACTACACTGTTTACTGAGTCAGAGTCATATGCTGCTTGTAAGACTTTAGCAATTCAACCTTAGGTGTACATCATTGCTAATCAGTGGGCATAAAATTTCAGTTATGCAAGGTGAATAAGCTCTGGAGATCTGCCTACAGATAACAGTACTGCATTTTATGCTCAAAATGCATTTTATGCCTAAAAATGTGTTAAGAGAGATCCTTTTGTAGTTCATAAGCATGATGATTTTGTGTTCATGCCATTGTGTGACACGTGCCTCCCTCAAACCTTGTTACAACCTTGGCACATTACCCTCTGATGTGGGAAAAAATTTGCTAAGAGAGTAGATCTCATGTTAAGTGTCCTTACAACAATAATAATAATAATAATAATAATAATAATAATAATAATAAAAAGTAAAGTGAACTCAATTCCTATATCTTCAGGTTAGGCCCAATCCCAAATTTTCTTTCTCCTTATCAGATAGTATGTCAGAGTATGTTCCACTTTGGGAAGTATAAAACATGATCATCAGAGGCACAAGCAAAGGTAGCCAGGTCTTCATGGCATCCAGCCAAGCAAGATCTGTCAACCTGAAAACTGCTATATAGCCCTTAATATTTATGGGGGTGTGCCCCAGATCTGCTCAACTTGTCAAGTCCCATTACAGAGTTGCTCCATGACCCAAGAGGGCCATGTCAATGGATAAGAGGCTCTGGGAAGTGCCCTTGAGTGCTGTGGGGTTCACAGGGTGGGAGCACAAGTCTGGCTTAATCCCCAAATCTTCATGCTACCCCAGAGTGGGAGTCTGCTTACCTATGGCCACCTGAAACCCTTATACCAGCTTTTCTTCCTAGATGTAAGCAATATGGCCAATACCTGGCACATAGTAGGCACTCAGTAAATATTTTTTAAATGAAAGAACACATGAATTAATATAAATATGCATGTTTGAGAAAGCATTTTCCTCCAACATTGGCTGGTTTCATCTGTATAAATGTTTATTCCTATGTACACCTTTTCTCCCCTGATAGCTGGACTTTGGAAGAAACAGGCTGGAAACATCCATCACTCAGCTTGTTCTAGCCTGTCCTGAGTCTGCAGGGAGGGTGGGAAATACATGCTTTGACCCCTCTGCATCTCAAAGGGAGTCAAGCCCACAGGCCTTGTGACTTCAGGCAAAGGATGCCCAGGCTTGTGTCCCCAGCTCCTGGCCCGTGTCCTGTGAGCCGTGGCAGCAGTCTGGGAGCAGTCTGTAGCTGTGGGGCTGACAGCTTCTCCCGGTGCCTCTGCAGGCAGCACCCCTTCTCGTCCACGTCAGTTCCTTCGCAGCCACCAGCCACAAGAAGAAGCTCTATGTGATTGGGGGCGGACCCAATGGGAAACTGGCCACAGACAAGACTCAGTGTTATGACCCTTCAACTAATAAATGGAGTTTAAAGTCGTCCATGCCAGTGGAGGCTAAATGCATCAATGCAGTCAGTTTCCGGGATCGCATCTATGTTGTTGGTAAGTGAATGAATGGCATCTTATTCATCTGAGGCCCCCCACCCATGCAGTGTTGCAGGTAGATCAGATGAGGCCCTTCTGGGAACTCAGATTCCTGGGTGATGTGGGTGAGGTTGAAAAGGAAGAGAAGATGGGATTGGTCCAGACCTTGGTGGAATTTACCTTCCAGTCCTGGATACAGAAACAGCCCACTTTCAGGGGACATACAAAGCAGACTGACAGTGGGGCCCAGTGGATGAGCCAGAAGTTGCTACAGGAACGAAGCATATTGTAAACATTAGCAAATGTACAGAAATTGAAATGTGCACAGTATATATGATAAATGACGGATAAATAGTAGCTATCATCGTTTCTTATTTTGTGTTAATGGGAATTTTACTCTTTCCACTTGCTTTGGGGGCTCTGAAAAGTTGCATTTAGCCAAAAGGAAAGCCTGGCTGGCCAGACCACAGTTGGCATGTAATTGTTAAGGATGATGGATCTCAATCCTGACTACTCATGAGAATCACCTGGGGAGCTTTTTACAGAACTATGCATAGCTGGAGCTTACCCCAGACCAAATGATACCAGAATGAGAAGGAGGACGCTGGCCAACAGTGCAAGGTGTTTCTAATGTGCAGGTGATTTTCCTGTGCAGCCATGATTGAGAGTCACTGATTTAAGGAGATGCCAAAAATATGTAACTCCAGCAAATAAGAGCTGATCAGAGAAGGCTTCCCGGAGGCAAAATACAGGAAGAGATTAAGGAAAAACCCCTTCTCTCCCTTGCTTCAGGTTTCCTGTATCTGTATGGTCAGTCTCATGACTTCAAAGCGCATCTTAAGATGGTGACGTGGACTGGTGTCCCAGGTCATGCTCAGTCTACAAAGAGATGCCACTGCCTCTAGTCACTGCCATGTGTTGATAGCTTCTCCGCACCAGGCCTTCTGCAGGTGCTTTATGCGCATGGTCCTTCTCATGTCTTAAAACCACCACGGTCTCAGGGCTTACGGTTACAATAACAATGTGGCAGAGCTGGGATGACGAGCTGAGTGCACCCGATGCACCAGGTGGTATTTCCTCCAGGGAGCAGTCTTAGGGTACATTTTGGCACCACCTGAAGCCAACTGTCCTTTTGCACGTGATTAGCGCCTGGCCACAGAGTTTAAAGGGCTCTGCGAAGTGTTTCTAGTGTGAGACTTACTGCCCTGCATACCCACTCAGCTTCCCGGAGAGCCACGAATCTACCCTTTCTATTAGCAAGATGGTAGATTTGACCGAGCAGAAGTAGGATTTTTGTGGGTAAAGGGGAAGAAAACCAGAAGAACAGCGAGATGCCCACCGTGTTTCCCTTCCTCTTCAGGAGGGGCCATGAGAGCGCTGTACGCCTACAGCCCCCTGGAGGACAGCTGGTGCCTGGTGACCCAGCTCAGCCACGAGAGGGCCAGCTGCGGCATCTCGCCCTGCAACAACCGCCTCTACATCACCGGGGGGCGGGACGAGAAGAACGAGGTCATCGCCACTGTGCTGTGCTGGGACCCTGAGGCCCAGAAACTAACAGAGGAGTGCGTCCTGCCCCGGGGGGTGTCGCACCACGGCAGCGTCACCATCAGGAAGTCTTACACCCACATCCGGAGGATCGTGCCCGGGGCTGTGTCGGTGTGACTGCACGAGGGTGCAGGGCAGGGCCGCGGGGGCTCGGGACCGGGTGCCGGGAGACCTTCCTCCTCATCTGTCGCCGGGTTCGTGCCACTAAAGACAGCGGGCTGGGCTTGAGCTACAGGCCCTACACCTGGGCTCCCTGTGGCTTCCCGTGGGACTCCTTGGAAATCACAGCTTTGGGACACTCTAGACCAGCCAGGAATGTTTGCATGACCTACCTCAGGAGGAAAGAAGAAGAATATTTAACATTCAGGACACACCTGTCCCATGTCAGGTTCTGTGCCAGGCACTTGTGTATATCAATTCATTTAACCATAATGACCTGCTGACTGGATATTATCACTTCAGTTTTACAGGCGAGGAAACTGAGTTTCAGAGACGCTAAGGGCTTTGCCCCTGGTCACTCTGATTGTAAGTAGCTAAGCCAGGAATCTAAACCCAGGTCTTTTCCATTGCAAGGTCAGTGGTGTTCTGTCATGCTGTCTATCTCCGAGTAGGAAACAAAAACTGGCTCATTTTTTGTTCTAACAAGTTTGCTAAAGGATTCACTCAGAAAGGCAGGGAAATAAAATTGTTTCTTTTTGTTCTTTTTTTCTTCTGTTAGAGCCTTCAGCTCCTTGTCAAGAGTGTCTCATATGTTGTTTTCTCTGACAGGACCGGGAGATGGGTCTGGGAAGACCTATATGCTTTGGAAGAGATAAAAGACTTTTCCCCTATTGAAACCTCTATTTCTTATATGTACCTTATAGAGATACATTCAGACCAGAACTGTCATCCCCAGACAGAATTGTACCTTCAGCAGAGGGCACTGGCCTGGCCTCTTCGTGTCCAGCACCTGTATTGCAATGTAGAAAGGATTTTCCAGAGACTCAGAATACTTTTTTTTTTTTTTTAATGTAAACATCCCTCCACTACTGACCACTGCAGGAATGGCTGATTCTTTTTGAACTGTATACTTTCTACCTTTTAGACTGTGATTTGAGTCCTTGTGCCTGAGTCCTTGTCACCTTCCTGGAGCCTTAGTTTTCAGGATCCTTTGAAGCCCTTCTATTTGGTTTTCAGATCAGTCTGGCACAATTTGGACTCAAAGAATGGAGTCTGTCCTTCACTCTAAGAGATAGAGCTTTCAGATGAGCTCACTGGAAATTCATTCTAATCCCCAAATTGGGGAAACAGATTAAGAGATCCTGTTTCATGTGCCGTACTTAAAAGCAGCAACAATGGTAACAACATAGTAACTGCATTACCCAGTGTGTTTTATTTTCATCATATGATTTCAAATCTCTACAGAGTGTTATTTCATGGCAGATGCAGCAGATCGTGCTTGTACTTCTGAGTAGTTTGGGAAGTTAGAGATATTAGAGTTGATAGTGTGTTGAATTTTCATAGAAAAGTTATGGTTAGAAGAGGCTAAAGTTCAAAGCTGATTTTAAAAAAAAGGACTTGGAACATTGCAAATGAGATTTCTATGTACGCTTAGGTCATTGAGAATAAATATAAACACATGTCGGTGTGTGAAAAGCTCTGTGCCTTGGGGTCAGGTTAGGTTTAGTTCCCTGCTCCGAAAAGCAGGATGGGAAAATACAAATATATTTGTGGAAATTTAGAACACATTACAGTAAGTGATGCACTTACTCATGAGCACTAATAATCTTAATGAAGCTTTCAACTGAAACAATTTAATCTAGTTCCATTTAGCAAACATTCAAGGTGTTGTTTCTGTTTGTCAAGCCTTGGGGACACCAATGAATAAGACAAATTCCCCCCAACCAAGAAACACTCAAACCGGTAAACAGGCCACGAGTCGACATTGTAATTTTTCTTTTCATCAAGTTAGAGAAAAATGAGATGTGTGAGGTTACATCTATGTCTTTATTGCCCTCCCAGTGGTCATCTTCGAAAGCTGTGCTCTTGGGTCAATGATGTGGCCATTGCTTACATATTTGACTTTTTTTGAGATTGCCTTCAGAAACTATTTATGAGCTATAGAGAAATCATTTTCCCAAGACCATTTCAGGGAAGAACTTCCAAGGAGGATATCCAATGACAACATCAATGGCATATGCAGAGAGGGCCCCTCAGAAAGAGAGTGTCCCTTGTCATGGCAGTCCTTTGATAAGAGTAATTAGCAAATTTTGCGCCCATCAGTGGATCAGCCCTACTCTGGGAAAGTGAGGATTTAGGATCTTTGTGTTATAAATCTGGTTCTAACATCAGGACCCAAGTATCAGGACTAGTTCAGAATATCTAAATGAAGACAAGGGAAGGATTCAGTGTGATATGTGACCAGATATGCAGGTGAATTGTAAAATCTCAGGTGCCTGGCTCTCAAAAAATAGAGATTCTCAATAATGGCATGGGTTGGCAGACAGTTACAGCTGTTAAGGCTGTACAGAATTCTGCACTTAAAGCTGCCAGTCAGCAGCTTTTAGGGAAAGAAAAGAGTTCAAGTAATTTGGGGAAACTTTAAAAGCATATCGGGATTTAAGCTTTTAGGCACTAGCTAGGGATGGAAGCTCTTAAAATCTAATTTCCATTCACAGATAATAAAAAATTTAGTTTGTGTAGCTGTCATAACCCATCCCACCAGCAGGGGGATGAGGCAGATCGGTGCCAGATGAGCCAGAGGCAAAGGGCCCTGGGGACTGAGGCAGGGCATGTGGCTCATCTTGGCCCAGCAGACTGGATCTGGAAGCAGGTCGTGTGAGGGAACAGAGCGCCCCTGGCTGGGAGGAAGAGGATGAGCTAGGAGGAGGAAAAGGAGGTAGGTTTAAGGATACAGGTCTAGAAAATGATACCATGGTCCCTAGAGTTTGTGAGCATGATTCCATTCTCAAAGGCAAGGGAGATAAGGAACAGGTGGTTCAGGCAAGTGGGTTCCAGGAGAAGAGAGGCACAAGTTCGAACAGGACTGGCAGCCAGACCCACTTGTTGGGGGGCCTCTGAGCTGCTTGGCTGGGTCTCCTATTTTACTGGACCTAAAGAGAATGAGGCCCAGAGGCTGTGATGGGATGGAAACTGTAGGAGAGGTTAAAGGACCCCAGTTGCCAAGCTGCTCTGAAATGGGCAGGGAGCTAAGCTCACCTGAACATCCACAGATAAATGTTCTCTTCTTAGCCGTCACCACATTCTGCCATCAGTGGCTTCAGGAAATACACACACTCACACACTGCCCTTGAACTCAAACTGTGCTCTCAGGGAAATACAAATATCGTTTGCTTATAGCTGTGAAACTATAGCTTTGCTATTTATAAAAGCACTTGAGGTACTGTTGTCATTTACGAATCCTACTTGATTTTGAAAAAGAAAAGTACTCAGAGTTTTCAAAGTGAGTTAATACCACGGGAATTTCTTATAGAAGGTCCTAATTTGGGGTTGCAAAATCATTTTTTCCCTTAACATCTGATTTGAGTGTTGTATTAGATCTCATAATCTGAAGAGACATCCTTCATGGAAATCCACAAATATCTCACATATGGCTCTTGCAAAACCAATTTTGACAGGCTGAATTTTCATATTTATAGGTAAAAGAGTTGATGCTTAGTTGACCAAATCCTTTAAGCATTTTGGTTACGTGAATTTGTATTTTTTTAAACCATCAAACTAAGGATATTGTTTATACATAAATATACAAATAAAGTTTGTATTTATTCAATAACGTGTGGAATGGATAAGAATGTGTTTTACACTAGGTGAATTTTTTTTGCTTGTTTTAGTTGATATGAGTAAGTGGTATCTGAATAGAAATTAATTTAGGAGGTGGAAATTTAAAACATTTCAGTTGGTTCAACAGAGTTCGATAAAATCATAGGATAGAATTGATCAGAGGTGGTCTATAGAATGGCAAAAAAGCAGACAGCTTTTCCCTCCCTGAAGTCTCATTGCCTCTTTGAACAAGCTTTTACCAACCCACTTGCAAGCTGTATGACTCTCATCCTGCCTGCATTACCCCTTCTTACAGGAGGCCCCCTTCTAGGTTTCTGATTTCTGGTCTGACTCTTAACCCTGCCTTCACCAATGTCACTGTGTTGTTTCTGAAGCCTTAACCGACCTGTGTTTCTCAAATCAGGGCACATGGAACTTGGCATGTGAGACGGAGAGCTGTAGTTTTTGACCACTGGAAAACTTGTCATCGGTTTCGTTTGTTTTGGATAACATTACGAAGATCCTATGCCACTGAAAAGGAAAACGAGGTTTTGAAGAAATGTAGGCTCACATGAATAACTTTAGACCATTCCTCCTGGCCTCCCTGGAAATAGAGGTTCTGGCTCCTCTGCTTTGGGGACTCTGGGTGGAAAAGCTTGGGAAGCACAGCCCTATCTCACGGGAGGGAAGTGCTCTGGAGTTAATCCTGGGCAGTAGCTCCCGACAGCCAGCGCACCAGCTGTGAGTCAAAATGGGGTTTTGACCTTCAATTCACTGCTCAGCCCTCCAGTTTCCCTGCTGAGCTTAAGTGGTAATCTGATGCCTGGGCTGCTTGGCCAGGGCCTGGCATCTGCCCAGCTTTCCTTGGCTCCTCTCCCCACTCTTGGTGCTCTCTGCTGGTGTGTGGCATCCTCTGGACCAGCCTCCTTTTCACTGGAGCTGTGGCCATTATATAGGATCTCAATTCTCCCCTACCTCCTGTGGGCTCATACTTCATCTTCTGTTCTTTTTTTTTTTTTTTTTAAGATTTATTTATTTGAGAAAGAGAGCACGCGCACCAGCGGGAGGAGGAGCAGAGGAAGAGGGAGGGGAAAAGGATCTCAAGCAGACTCCCTGCTGAGGGCAGAGCCCCACGTTGTGGGGCGCAGTCTCACCCTCCTGAGATCATGACCTAAGCCGAAACCAAGAGTTGGACGCTTAACCGACTGAGCCACCCAGGCACCCCTTATTTTCTGTTCTTATACACAGCTACAATTCAAGACCCTTGGTGCTGGGGACTAATTTGGGTCAGATCCCCCCCACTCCCAAGCTGCCCAGTATCAGCCTGCCTAATTACCAATCACTCTGGTTTCCCTTCCATGCTTGTTTCTAACTCCTAGGGATTTTCCTTTTCTTCTTGCATACTCAGATAGCTCCTTTGTTATTGATTCCTGCATGACAGGCTACCTGGACACCCATGCCTGCCCCATCTCTGGTCATCCGCCTGAGTCCCTAACCTGCTGCCTCCCCTGGGGTCTCCAAACACAGAAACCTCATTACCCTTCTTGTGTTGACCTCTAGCTATCCTAGCACCATAGTATCTCTCAGGTCCCCTAATTTCTGAAGTTTGGAGAAAGAGTAAAAGAAGAGAGGAGATTTCCTGACTATAAATTCTTTAAAAAGGTTTGTGTGTAAGGAAACTTTACTTTCCCTTAGTAAAACTAATCCAGTTCCTCCAAGTTTGCAGTAGAGGGAGAAACTCCCAGGGGGGACAGAGAGTTGGATCTCATAGTTCCAACTCTTATCCCTGTAAGGAAAGAGTCCTATACATGGCTCTTAATTTCCCAAAGGACATCACAGACCAGGCTGGAACAGCTGAATAAGACTTTACTAATGACTTAGAGATGCTATAGGGAAATAAGCACAAAAAGGAGCAACTCTCTGGGTGATGAGGACGACAGGATTC